TTTTTTTTTTTTTTTTTTAATAAAATATACTTTAGGAAGCTTAGTTTTAAAGTTGAAAATATATTACCAAAATTATTCTTTTTATTTAAAAATGTCCAATAATGTTAATTTTAAATCACTAAATATAACTAAACGGATGAAAATAATATTTTAACTGAAATTTTGTTATATTTAAAAAGAGGAAAATAATTATTTGTTTGTTTAAATTATAACAATGTATTTAATAGAGAAATTTACTTAATTATTTTAACAAGTTGGGGTTAAATCTTGATTAGCCTATATATTAATGAGCTTACGATCATCATTAAAAATTTATCTTATTTATTTTGTTTTCAAAGTTTTTTAAAATAAAAAAAATAAAAAAACAACAAATGAATTATAAATAAATAAATAAATTTAAAAAAGAGACATGCACCCATGTTTTGAGGTTCCTATAAGTTTCCCAATTTCCCGAGCCGTAATTCTTCTTCTTCTTCTTCTTCTTCTTCTTCTTCCTGCTTAGACTAGTAACCAGGTGCAGAGAAACAGAGTCTGGGGAAGAGAGAACAAATTTTGGTGGACAAACCTCTTCACCATGATCTCCTTGACCACAACCAGTTTCCTGGTATTCCTATTTCAATCCATTACTTTTACGAGCTTCCGGCTTATGTTTTTGTATCTGGGTTCCTTTCAATTTTCTTTTTATTTCTCTGATTTCTTCAATGTTGCTTGTTTTTTTCTTGTCCGACCCAGATGGGTGTTTCTACACCTTGCTCCACTCCCTCCGCCACCGGAAGACGGCGGCCGGTGGCTCTGAAAGTGGTGTCGATGGACTCGCATGTTCGAGCCGGCGAGCGAAGTGGCAGTGTTGTGGTGGACAACAACAGTGTGAAAGAAATTCCCAATGCTCCGTCGCCGGTGTTTCAAGTGGAACCCAAATCCACCCCTGCCGCCTCCGCCTCCACGGAAGAACAAATCATGACACCATGGACCGTCTCTGTTGCCAGGTGAAGACCGTCTCTGTTCCTGCTCTGACTTGGTTGAACTCTGCAAACCTTTTCATAGCTGAGTTTCTTTCTTTGTGTTGCTTTTTGCTGAAACCTTAGTGGGTATAATTTATTGCGAAATCCACGCCATAACAAAGAGCTTGCGTTTACTGAGAAAGAAAGAGACGCCCATTACTTGCGCGGGCTTCTACCCCCCACAGTTCTTGCTCAAAATGTGCAGGTTAGCCTTCCCTTGTGATACCCTTCAGCCCCATTATAAGTTTTACATTCCTAGTTTGTTATTAACTTTCCAGGTGAAGAAGATGTTGCACAATATCCGTCGATATCAAGTACCATTGCTCAAGTACATGGCAATGATGGATCTTCAGGTACCCATTGTTCATCTCATTTTTTAGTACTAGGACTTCTAAATGATGCTTGAATACAAAATTTATGCATTAGTGAAACTTGTTTTGTTGTACCCTTTTTCAGGAGAGGAATGAAAAGATGTTTTACAAGCTGCTTATAGATCATGTAGAAGAATTACTCCCAGTTGTGTATACACCAACCGTGGGTGAAGCTTGCCAGAAATATGGAAGCATCTTCAGGCATCCACAGGGCCTCTATATCAGTTTGAGAGAAAAGTATAGCTCGTCGATTACATCGATGCATTTCTGTCTTGGTTTAGGGTGTTGAAATGGTTGAGTTTCTTTTGCAGGGGGAAGATCCTTGAGGTCTTGAGGAATTGGCCTGAGAGGAACATTCAAGTCATTGTAGTTACAGATGGGGAGAGAATTTTGGGGCTAGGGGATCTTGGATGTCAGGTTAATTCCAATGATGGTTGTCTCTGAAGCTTGAAATTGAGCTATGAACTGATCAAATCCATGTTAATGTTTCAGGGGATGGGCATACCCGTTGGGAAACTCTCTTTATATACTGCACTTGGAGGTGTTCATCCTTCGGTGGTGAGTACCGACATCCTCGCTTTATGCTTCATCTCTTATTCTTGATGGTTCATTTTTTGGGGTTTTTCAGTGCTTGCCAGTGACCATTGATGTTGGGACAAACAATGAGGAGTTGTTGAATGACGAGTTTTACATCGGGCTCAGGCAAAAGAGAGCTACGGGGCAGGTTTGTGATCCCTTCTCTCTCGCCAATGTATCATTTCTAGTTCAATGTGACAAGGCATACTTGGCGAATTCCGAGCTGAAGTGGGATGATTTTTCTCAATGTAGGAATATGCTGAACTTATCGATGAATTCATGACTGCAGTCAAGCAGCATTATGGGGAGAAGCTCCTAATTCAGGTATGTTGCTGTAACTACACATACTCATTCTGATATTGTTCTAACTCAATTTCCACGTTTTAAAGTTCGAAGACTTTGCAAACCATAACGCATTCGATTTGCTTGCAAAATATGGCGCAACTCATCTGGTCTTTAATGATGACATTCAGGTTAAGACCCTGGACTTCTCATTTTACTCTTGACTAATTTCAATCAACTGTACCGTAATTGTCATCGTTGAATCTCAGGGGACAGCGTCCGTGGTACTTGCTGGGCTCATTACAGCTCTAAAGTTCGTTGGCGGCTCCTTAGCTGACCATAGATTTTTATTCCTTGGTGCTGGAGAAGTAAGTTCATACCGAATCGTGTCTAACATCTAATAAAAGCTCCTCTTAAGTTTGCGTTTGTTGTTTCAGGCTGGTACTGGAATTGCAGAGCTCATTGCCCTTGAGATATCAAAACAGGTTCATAGCCCTTGTTCAGAATTCATTAAGTCAATCTTCATTTTAATTAACAAGAGCTAGTCGTTTGTGTAGACCAATGCTCCGTTGGAAGAGACGCGCAAAAAAGTCTGGCTCGTGGATTCGAAGGTAACTTGTTCGTCAAGCTTGAGAAGGTGTTCATCATTCAGGAAGTTTTTGGAATTTCTGATTCATTTCTTTGTTCCTTCCTCAGGGACTGATTGTAAGTTCTAGGAAGGATACTCTCCAACATTTCAAGAAACCTTGGGCTCATGAACACAAACCTATCAAGGAACTCATTGATGCCGTTAAGGTATCGAATCTTGTAATGTACTTCTACAAATGCATGTTCATAATTTGAATCATGTCTTTTACTTACTGTTTCACGTCAGGAAATCAAACCGACCGTCTTGATTGGAACATCGGGCGTTGGAAGAGCATTCACTAAAGAAGTTGTGGAGACTATGACCTCAATCAACGAGGTATTTAATTCGTCCTTTTCACTTTCTGAAGAGCGCATACCGATCTGTTCATGATTTGGGTAACTTGTTGCAGAAACCTATCATTTTCTCACTTTCCAACCCTACTTCCCAATCTGAATGTACTGCTGAAGAAGCTTATAAATGGAGTCAGGTAATACAATGGTTCATTCCCCTCCCTCAAGAACACAATGAATATTCATCTTGTATCACATGGTTGAGTTGTTGCTTTCAGGGTAGTGCCATTTTCGCAAGTGGGAGCCCATTTGATCCAGTTAATTACAAGGGGAAAGTGTTTGTACCTGGCCAGGTCCTCACATTTCAATTCAATTCTAAGCTAAAATCATATCATGCATGATTTGGGTGTTAATATTAATCCTTGGTGATTTATTAACAATTCAGTCAAACAATGCATATATCTTTCCTGGATTCGGTTTGGGGTTAATTATGTCGGGCACAATCCGCGTTCACGATGACTTGCTTCTAGCAGCCTGTAAGTACTCAAAAGCCTATTAAGATTAAAGTATATTAGAGACAGTGCACACATTCTTTCAAAGCTTAGATGAACTAGAGTCCATTGCTATGTTTAAGTCTCGGGTTTCGATCATTACTAATGTACTTGTTCATTACGATCAGCCGAAGCTTTGGCTTCACAAGTGACCCAAGACGACTTCGACAGAGGACTCATCTTTCCTCCATTTGCCAAAATCAGGAAGATTTCAGCACATATTGCTGCCAGTGTGGCTGCAAAAGCTTATGAACTTGGTGAGATTTCAACCTCATTTCCCTTTCACAAACTTTTCGAAGAGTTTGAATCTGCTAATCATTCTCCCATTTCAAATTCTGTCTCATAGGTTTGGCCACTCGCCTCCCTCAACCTAGAGATCTGGTGAAATATGCTGAGGGCTGTATGTATAGTCCTAGCTATCAAAATTACCGGTAGATTAGCGTCGTTAGTCCGCTGTATCTATGTCGTATCGTTCGTTTATTCTCTGATAGTGTTTCTTCTATTTTCAGTACTTTCTTTTGTTGTGTAAGCCGTCTGTAGTTTGTATTAGTTGTGGAAAAAAAAATGGGAAAGGGAAGTAAGAAGTGTTGCAAGATTTTCATGAAATTGAATGGAAACTTGTGCTCAAAATTTGAGGTGAACTCATGACCAAGAATCCAATACGTAACTAAATTGAGTCCTAAGCTGAAGAAACATACTAAAATTATTTGTAAACATTTTATTCATACAATGAGAATTTGAGAATTAAGTAAAATTTTATTTAGAAAACAATATAAAATGACATTTGAGAAACTTCTTTTTGTTATTAGTATTCTCAACAGCAATCACGCCAAGACCGACCAACATAGATCCCTGAATTTTAGAAAATATCAAATAGTTGCACTAAGTCTTACTCTCGATATCAAACTCGATTACTTTTTTGCATTTATTTGCACTCGCTCGATCTCATTTGAATGCATTCGAAGGATCCTTGGAAAAGCCTGTAAAAGCTAGAGAAGAATCAGAATCTGCACTTTGATAAGAGATTCTGATACCAAAATAGTACGCCATGTCTACCACTTTATAAATAATATGCCAATGTCTACCTCTTTATGAATATGGGAAAAGAATTTGTGTTGAGGTGTTATGTCAATCAATGACAAGACAAGAGTGAGATTCTAGGCTAACCATTACATGAGACAGTGATGCGAAAGGGGAATTTCAATCTATGCAACACATATTTTAGGGAGTACCTAACAAAAAAAAAACCCCAAAATCTGATCTTTAAAACTTCAGCTCTTATACAAAATAAGTCGATAGACTATAAACACCTCTTATGTTCAATGCACATCTCTCTCACATAGGAATAGTCGAAGAATAGGAGGAACGGCCTTTTAATGACTTTTCAAGTATTTGAGAAGATACAGGAAGGTTAGTGCGTAAAGAGCCGAAAGGCTCTAAATGGAGCTATGTATGGTATGTGCGTGGAATATTACAACAAATGTTCGTGAAATGAAATCTGGCCTTTTTTTGTTATTTCTCTAAACCTGGGGATGCCTCTATCTTCAAGGCTCATATTCTAAAAAGCTCAAAATCTGGTATACATGCATTAGTTCCCTCTACTCTTCTTTCTTCTCACTTGTTTTTCCTCTATATAAACCCCTGGATCCTAACCATTGTGGTAAAACTCATCACTATTCCATAATCTTCCAATCCTGTTCTGTTTCTCCTTTTTGACATTTTCTGTAAGATGGAAAGGAACCAGTTATCAAGGCAGATCAACAGAATGAGACAATCACTATTTGATCAGGTCCATTTGTCTTACTTAACCATCCATTTTCTTGGAAACCTGTCCTTTTTTACGTTTCTTGCTTTAAAAGGCTTTCACTTCTGACAACGAGTTGAACAAAAAGTAGAGGAGAGAGATTCGAACCTATAATCTTTTAACTAAAGTAGGTGTGCTCATATTCACGCTAACTTATTTTATCTCTACAGGGATTTCTTGATGAACAATTTGTCCAGTTGGAGCAGCTGCAAGATGAGGCTAACCCAAATTTTGTTGAGGAAGTTGTAACTCTATGCTACCGTGATTCCTATAGATTAATCCACAACTTAGAGCAAGCACTGTCAGTAAATTTATAAGAACAAATTATTTCCCTTCTGTTACGTTCTAACAAATTGATATCAGTGCAGACAGAAGAGCCCTCTTGACTTTAATCAGTTGGATAGCTATATGCAACAGTTCAAGGGAAGTAGCTCAAGGTAAATTCACAAAAGGAAATGAAAGAATAAGAACAGTAATAAAAATAACCAATAATTTGTTTATGAATGGATGGCAGCATTGGAGCAAAAAAGGTGAAAGCTCAGTGCACACTTTTTAGGGAATACTGCAAGTCTGGGAGTGGAGAAGGGTATAATCTTTTTCCTAAATGAAATCATTAGATTATTATTAAGATCAACCTACGAGCATATATGCTGGTTTTTCTAATACTGATTCTGAAGGCTTTTGTAAACATGTAAAGATGCTTTAGGACTTTCCAGGAACTGAAGAAAGAACGTACAGCTCTGAAAAACAAGTTTGAAGCTTATTTTCAGGTTTATATCTCACTACAATTCCTATTTTCCTCCTGTGAGTTAAAGAAACTTTGGATCTTTACCATAATTTTTGTGTTGTTTTCTGAGCAGCTGAAAAGGCAAGCTGGTCCGAGTCAAATTGCAAGTCGTCCCAAGTAACAAATGATGGGCAACCAAAGGCAATGACTTCAAATGGAAATCAAGCAGATGATTAGGTGGGCGTAGAGGCCTTGGAATGTAAAGATTTCAATTTCAAAGCTCTGTCTTAACTTTCTTGGCAAATGGAAAGTAAGCCATCCTTTGCCTTTTTGTAAATGGCTGGCTTATAGACTTTAAAATGCTCCTTGATGGGATGAATTGCACAGAATCCAAGTACTTCTGTGTCCAGTAAACTTGTTACGAGTAAAGAAAGTCTAGGAGATCTTGACTATGCAACAATTTGACCAAAAAAGGAAATCAAGAAATTAATGAAGAAAATCAAGACAACTGGGTTAACGAAATAGATCAAGAAGGATTCAAAAGTTACAAATTTGTGGGGGTTTGGAAAACTACTTTAGAGCCGAGGAAAGAAGTTTTCAGGATATTACGCTGGAAATGGTAGATTGTGTTCTTTGATTTTTTGTAGATTTGTTATTGATTTTAGCATGAGAATATTATAATGGCACCAGAATGGCATGTACACCCATGGTATTCAAACTTTGCTCATGCTTATAGAACAAAATGTAGCCTACTAGACAGCCATTCTCTAGAGCATATTCGGTTCCAGCATCATTACAAGTTTTAGCTTTCTACGCACCTTAAAGTGTCGAACTTAATAGATTCTTTCTCCTGGCCGAGGTACGCACAGGCACAACATCTGCTGCAATGCCCTTCGCGGTGTGCATTCCCAAGTGTATCCGCTCCGCATCTAATCACATGAAACCTCATCCAACAAGTCCAGGAAACCCTTTGATGTCTTTTGGAGAGATTGATCACAACGAAATGGATTGGCTGATGCTGCTTCAAATTTCAGCCAGAGTTCTTTCTTAAGAGTTTCCTCACCAGCACGTTTGCCAACCCGGAATACACTTTCACATTCCTTCAACATGGGAGTGTTATCTATGATCGGCAAGCTGACTCCAACTGGATCTATATGCACATTTTCTTAGTCAGAAGCGCCTCATAAATCATAGGCCAAACACTATAATGATATTATCAAAATACTCTATGAAAAAACAGAAACTAAACTAATTCATGAACAGGGACGTCTGGTAATTGAAAAACAATAAATACCTTGGTGGGTGAAAGATTTCTTGGCTTCGTAGTAACATCCATCACAATTAGCACTTTCCACCGAATGAGAATCAGACGGCTCCAGTAAAACACAGGTTTTTGGAGGTGACATAAACCAGTCCGGAGAAGCTTCAACCTTCTTTTTAATTCCTGATTTGTGAGCCTGTTGAATTCCTAGGAGTTCTGGATACTTCAAAGCCAACCCATCAGACGTGTCACTGCCAGAAGAGGAATCATGAACGCCAACGGGAAAAGGTGTGGCCTTGTAAATCCTTTTTTTGTCTTTTTGTGACGACTCTGAAATGGGTTCGAGCAGCACACAAGATTTTGGTGGCGACATTTTTAAGCATGGTGTCATAACTAACATAGAGCAATTCTTCTTTGATAATAATGGTGGGGAAGCAAATCCTCTCTGATGAATTGTCCCTACTTGTGTTAAATCAGACCCAGACGGCTCAGCACCACTAGGCTGAGGTCCATTACCCTCTAGCAAATTGTCCCCCAGTTTGGTTAAATCGGACCCAAATGGTTTACTAACACTAGGCTCAACTCCATTACCTTCAAGTAGATTCTCGTTTAAATCTCCACATGCAAAAAAACATGGTTGTGCACCCTTAAGTGTACCCGAAGTAATTCCGCCAAGTACAGATTTAGAGCATGGTTGTGCACCCTTAAGTGTACCCGAAGTAATTCCGCCAAGTACAGATTTAGAGTATGCTGCATGTTTCGATGAGAGTGATTTAGAAATAGGAAGAGGAGTGAGTAAAAACAATTGTCTTCCCCTCTCAATATTGCATCCAGCACGCCATGATACGAGGGGTGAAGGGGAGATCAAATCTTGAATTCCAGCATTGTCTGGGCTATCAATAACGTTGCTTTCCGTAACATTAACCAAAGCATTGCTTTCACTAGCCAACGGTTGTTCTATACCATCATCAGAATCTTTTGATGGACGAGAGAACGCCATCTGGAACCTGGGGACCCAGGGCTGCATTTATGAAAATTATCCCACATGAGTTATCAGGATGAATGGAGTTGCAATTTACAATAAGTTTCTGAAAAATTTACCTTCAAAGAAGATAGCATATCAGATAAGACATGAGTGAAAGATTCGATCTCTTTTCTCCCTTGTTCATCCATTTTCTTCAGTTCAAATGCTTTGACAACGAGTTCATCGATCTGCCAAACACTACGGTAAGGTGAAGCTGTGCAACATAGCGAAAAAAAAAATACCAACCAACTACTATACAAATTATAGAAGATCTTAAAATTGGTGCAGATGTGTACCGCTTGGTTTAAGAACACATACTTATAGAATTCATGTGTACATAATCTACGCTTCCTAACGGACAAATATGTCATTTCTTAATACCTAGGAGTGAACAAATGTCTTAAAGAAACAACTTCTTTGTTTGGCCAGATTAACTGTTCTCTGTTTTGGAGAAAGTGGTATAACACCCGCAAACAATGATTTCTACACTGCAATTGATTAACATTACAGGGTTTTGATAACAATTTTTCCTCTCAAGTTGTCTGCAACTAAAGCACTTTAAAAAAGCAAAGAAAACAAAAATTGTTAGTATCGAACACATACCCAATGGAATACTAGTAAAATTGCACTCACCCACCCGCAACAAAAAAAAAAATTAAACAAAGAGACATAAAGATTTACGTGATTTGGATTGAAATTTTTTTTCTACATCTACGAGTAGCAACCAATCTCAATAATCAAAATATTTGCAAAGTGTATATCTTGCACTTTTACACTAAAAAATCTCTCAACAAAATTTTTTCCAAATGTCAAGCAACAAATAAC